ATTTTTTTGTAATTATGAGAGGTTGATTAATCATTTTTATTGTGGAGGGTGTTAATCATAGATATTATCATCTTCATTATTTTAATTTTAGAAAAATGCATGAAACAGTTTCATTATAATTTTATTAAGTATTATATGAAACAATTTCATAACCATATATGAAACAACTTCATCAAAAAAAAATATTATATGAAACAATTTCACAAGATTAAATTTTTTCATAAGATTAAACAATGAAATCGACGGATGAGGGTGGTTTGCACAGTTTGTACAAATTGGATGGTTTGCATTTAATCGCTCCTCTCTCTCTCTCTCTCTCTCTCTATATATATATATATAGAGAGAGAGAGAGAGAGAGAGAGGTAAGTTATTCTACAACTCTTTACATTTGTACAATCAAAACAACATAATCTCAACCATATATTTAGTTTGATTAATATGTGATTTTATAGAAATTTTGATTGTTTCATAATATAAAGTATTAATCATAATTAATGAACTTTATTCATCTTCCATAAATATTCAAATCATAATAAATAAACCTTTATTATTTCCATAAATATTTCAATTGATTAGGTTACATTGGTTATACAAATGAACATGATTGTATTGAAATGTACCCTCTCTCTCTATATATATAATAATAATAATAAATCCTTTTTTCCAGACTATAGACCACTAACATTATATTCTCTAAAATGATTTAAATCAACCAGTGGAATACCTCTTTGCCATGCCAATGCCAAACATATGAATTTTGCTCATTTCACGTCTACGGTCTACTTGACCACAAGTCTTGCATCATGATTCACCCAACAATATATAAATATGATATTTCAACAATTTCAATTAAATCCATAACTTAGTTATGGTCTATTAAAGAAAAAATGGCTTCATATTTATCAAAAGATTGTGACTTTACTTAAAATCTCATTTAAGGTTATATACCTACCAAAAAGAGAAATAATACTTAGGAACCGTTTATCAATTACTTACCGGGTCAATTACCTTACTGAGTGAGCATAGGAAGTGTAGCATCCCAAGATCCACATTTGCATATAACCTTACATTTCATATATGAATAACTCAAAAAGTACACATTCGGTCCCAATAAGTACAAAAAGCTATAATACAAAATTGACAATCAGACTTTCCATAACATTCCTTGTACATAACTTGCATATAAAACAAGTATTCGAAAAACTTAACAAATCAGAGACTGTTCTTCAAAATCCATGCAAGACATAAAAAAAATTCACATTTTCCCTTTTCTCTTATCCCTCGATAAAACTTAACCTGCAATGCACATTTTTAAACACAAAATAAGGGTTAGACCTTGAGGTCTAATGAAAAATCTTTTTTTATGTAATTACAGTGTGAAAATCACCAAAACTTGTTGCAAATCATATTTGTAATTATATAAATAAATATATATATATATATATATATAACCTTGTAATAAAATATAACTCCAATAACGCGATCAAATGTGAGTTATAAATTTTCCTTGTCGCACATGAAATATGACCACTCAGGTCCTCGTATCATTCTGTGTGTGATTACCCAGAGCTCCTCTAGCTCCTAAGGATCTAAGTTCATCTGGCTCTTAAGGACCAGAGCTCCTCTAGCTTTTAAGCCGGAGTAAAGCTAAATAAAACAAAGTCATTGAAGACTGGGCGTTTGGTTCATCGAAATCCGCCAGAATCTGGTGGAATTGAAATGGTCAATTCCGTTGACCAAATTCCATTCCAACGTTTGGTTACCCATGGAATGGAATTGAATTCCAGACATTCCCTCATTTGAGGATTTCATCATTCCTTCATAAAAGTCATGGAATTGAAATCCATTTCATCCAAAATTGTGTAAATGACAAAAATACCCTCTTCCAGTTTCATCAATTGCTTAACGATTTATGCTTGCTTCCCGTTTCTTCTTATCAATTACTGTTGTTGCTTAACGATTTCTGCTTATCTGTTGCTTCCAGTTTCTGCTTAACGATTTCTTCTTGCTTCTCGTTTCTGCTTATTGATTACTGCTGCTGCTTCCAATTTCTTCTTAACGATTTCTGCTTATTTGTTGCTTCCAATTTCTACTTAACGGTTAAAAAATATCAAAGAAAGGATATTTTTGTCTTTTTTATCATTCTATTCTAACTCTGTTGCAAACCAAACAAGCAGATTCCAATTTATTAAACATATTATATTTCATTCTTGCCGACCAAACACTTGATCAAACCTAATAACATTTCATTCCAATTCCTTCCAGATTCCAATTCCTTTGACAGATTTCATTCCTTCAGAAATCATTTTGCGAACCAAACGCCCCCTTAGTCTTGAAGTCTATATCAACTTAAAAATGATACACATAATATGATCAACCAAAGCTCCTATGGTCACTTACCTAAGTATAAAGAAATCCAGAGTTGAGGCAACCAGAGCCTCTCTGTTGACAAGAGCTTCTGGTCTTACCAACAAGAACTTCTGGTCTCCAACTTCTAAAAACAACTAAGGATGCATGACCAACCAGAGGCCCTCTGGACAACCAGAGCCTCTGGTCTCTCTTAACCAAAGCTTATGAAAAATAAGAAGATGAGATATAAGAAGACAATTAGATCTTTAACATAACCAGAGGCCCTTTGGTCAAATATGAAAGTTAACCAGAGCCTCTCTAATCCTCTACTAAAGTTGAAAAAGATCAAGTGAAAAAGTTTTAACTATAAAATTATACTAAAGACTAAGAGTTAGATATAGAGCTCAGATACAGAGCTTGTACTTGTTAAATTTCATGATATAGAGCCTTTATATAAAACATACAAAGCCTCTGGGTCAAAATATGAGTATTTGAAAAACTTGGGATTTTTCATCACAACCAAAGGCCTTCTGGTTAGTCATGATGACCAACCAGAGTCCCTCTGGTTCCTCATCAAAACTTACTTTATTGAAATAATTCAAAGTATAACATCCAGATTAACGCAAAAATATTATTAACTCAAAGCACATCAATCAAAATCTCTCTGGTTATAAACCATTTTCCTCATCTTCATAACAACATTGTTATTATATCAATAAGAACAATAATTTCAAGTCCTCACATCACACAAAAGTGATATCTCAGGATTATTGCATCTTATGGATGTAATAACACGATGAATGATCAAAACTAGATTTCACAATTGTCACTCTTATCTAAAAGTACACTTCTCTTTGATATATCACTCTTATCTCATGGTACACATCTTCTTGATATGCCACCCGTATCCTATGGTATACCTCTCCTTGAAATATCACCCTTATTCCGTCATAAAATTTTAACCAAATCTGTCATTCTTTGCCAGGGATTCATAGAAACTTCATATTAAAAACTTGTACAGTTCTAAACTCAGCTTCATTATCAACCCAAAATAATTTCAAGATCAGCTTGCCTTTTTCTCATAGAACCAAACAATTCAATATTTTAAATACCAAATATAGAAAATTGATAACATAAACTTACCTTATATGCACGTATTCAAAGATGAATCTTACAACTTCGAAATATAATCACAAAATCAACTTTTAACTTCACTTAGTAATTCACACAAGAATGCACATAGTAAGTCTTCTCTCTTTTCCCTTCTTTTAAGATAGAGAATGGATAAGATAAATATATCACTTTTATATGTTATCAAAAACACAGGCGGTGGAGGTTAATAATTTTATAATCCATAATTCACACACAACCTCGTGTAATAAACTATACATGTAATCATAAGCGTTGGAAATATATAAGCAAACAATCATATATAAACAATCTAAAATTCTTTACTTACCAATGCTTTTCAAAAACCATCCCAAATTCTATAACCGAAAAAACCCAATTATCACAGGAAGAACTGGAAATCTTACCCGGTAAGCCTTTATCGGGTGATAAATGCTTGATTGCCAGAAATATCAGCCGATAAGGTAAGAGAGGTGGAATATTAGCTGATAAACGTTTCGTAAACGGTACCTTGGATATAAAGAGCCAATAATTCATGATCATATAAAACAGGATGGTTATATCAGATCAATTCATCCAACATTCATAAACTAACATTATAAGTTACCTTTTTTTAGCTTAACTATCACAGTCAAAATTCCCAGAAAGAGAGTTGAAGAATACAACAATGGTTGCAACTTAATAAACATAATCCACTTAAGTTATCAACCTCCATGGATTCCAACCAGAGTTGAATTGCCCAAAACTGTTTTAAGTCTGTATCTGCATCTGCTTCTTCATTGCCACCACTTTCTCAGACAAAGATATAAGCTGCATAATACAAATCAGAAAGAGGTCATCATGTTTACGTATTAAGGCACAAAAGACTATCAGGGTGCGTTTGGTACCAAGGACAGTACAATACAAAAAAAAAAAAACTTGGTGTCCCACCTTTGGCGTGACATTAGACAGGAACATGACAGGACTCAGTTGTCCCACCAAAATAAGTGGAACAAAAATCTGGAGACAGGGCAAGATAGGTAAATTACTAAACTACTCATTTCAAATTAAAACCCTAAAACTGTATACAATTCTTTCACCCGTTTACCTCACTCTCATCCGTCGAGTCATGTTTGGTAGGCGTACCAAACACACTATGAGTCTATGACCTTAGCATATTTTGCTACATTTTTGGGACTTGGACTCATAAACATAAGCATACTAATCTTTTAGAGCATAGACCATTTGAAATAAAAAGAGGCCTTATGTAATTTGAGTATATTTGCCACATACATTTTAAACGATTCATCATATTTGCGATTGTAAGAAGCACCATCAGTGGACAAGCACAAGCTTAGAAAGCTTTTTTTTTTGGCTTCTAATAATCTAAAAGCATTACAAATCGTTTCTTACGTTATTATATAGCATTCCAGGCTTACTTAGCGCACCAAGACAATGTTGACCCTACAGCCACAGAATGGCTAGAGAAACTAGGAAAGATTCAAGACTCTTAACATCCCAACGCATCCAAATGGGAGAAACTTACAGGCCGATGAAGGAAACCCTGAGATGCTGATAATGGTCAAGTGTTGTCCTTACCAATGCCCACAACAAGATGACATGGCCCAACCTTCAAATTAGAAACCTCGGTTGACTAATAAATGGAATCTAATGGGCCAAACCAAGTGTTCTCAGTTTCCAATTTGTTATCATACCCCTTGCTCCTATTTTTTCTTTTTCTTCCTTTTCTACCTCACACCGATTCTGCTTTTCATTCTCCAAGTCCCATTTACATGCCATGAATATGTTCCACTTATGAGAGATGAAGATGGGAATGGAGAATGAAGGAAATGGTGTGATTGAATCGAAACTACACTTCTCTAAATTAGATGAAGAGAGTAGCAGCATAAGGAAGGCATTTTCAGAGAGGTCCATGCTAGAACACTCGTCACCACGAGGCTCCACCAAAACAATACTATGAGTGTACTTAACTTGAAGGGCCATAAAACCACTCACTAGGAGACATTTTTTCAAAAAATTATATTAAAGCTGTCAATATTAGTGAGAGTGATTGACTTTTTGAACCAACATAGATGCCTCTCTACTGCAAACTAACAATTGTTCTTGTGAAAACGCTATAGTCTGCAAGAATGAATTATTGGATAAATAGTGGATATGTGTATGCCAAGTAAACATTAAACTAACATTATTTTGTCCTAAATCGTTTTGTGCATTTTGCAAGAACAATAGTCTATTAAGTTGTTCAAAAAGTCTATCACTCTTATTAATTGGTGGTAAATTAGAAAATATATAGGACGATCTATCTAAATGTTTATACATGTAGATATAATAACACCAACCTGTTGAGCAACCTGTTCTAGGCGTTTCTCCTCTTGAGTTGTCTCTTCTATTGAGATGATTTTCTCAATCTCTTCTTGAGTTGATTCTTCCATTGAGATGAGCTTCTCAGTCCCATCTTCAGTTGACTCTTCCATTGTGATGACCTTCGCAGTCCCCTCTTGAGTTGACTCTTCTACTGAGATGACTTTCTCAGTCTCCTTTTGAGTTGACTCTTCCATTGTGAAGACCTTCTCAGCCCCCTCTTCAGTTGACTCTTCTACTGAGATGACTTTCTCAGTCTCCTCTTGAGTTGACTCTTCCATTGTGATGGCCTTCTCAGTCCCCACTTCAGTTGATTCTTCTATTGAGATGACTTTTTCAGTCTCCTCTTGAATCGACTCTTCCATTGAGATGGTTTTCTCAGTCTCCAAAGGAGAAGTTTTGTTCTCTTCTTTCTTCTTCAAGTCACACAAGTCACTTCCCTCGGTGCTCAAGGTCCCTCGTTTCCTTTTCCTTTGGAATGTGTACTTGATAACCCTACTACTTGTTGGTTGAATAGGAACCCCACCAGTCTCTAAAGCCTTAGACTTCGGAGGGTCAACTTGAGCTTCTGAGCTCAGTGGCGGCTTTTCATGCCCCACAGGTAGAAGTTCCTCTCTAATTCTGCTGTGAACATCGCTTACTCTTACCAAATCTGTAGCAATCTTAATACTTCCATCAGGATTTTCCCCTTTGGAACGTTTGACTGACCTTGAGGTAGTCAAACATGAATTATCAGATACATGATCCATCTCCTTGACTTGATCCAGCAGTAGATTTGGGCATGATGTTCTCTTTTTCGTATTTGGACTGGCTCTTTTCCTGCTTTTTTTCCTTTCATCCCCAAGAGAGAGCGCTTTATGTAGTTTCTCACCTTCATCCACTTTGGTAATCATATCAGGCCTAATGTGGTTCGTTTGTTCAGGTAATGACAATTCTCTATCCAACGGTGTCCGTTCACATGCACGAATTCTATGAGTACACCCACTTTTGTACAGCTTTGTTCCTTTGCTTCTCAATATTATAGATGGTAAATCTTGGTCATTAATACAAGACTTCCATAAAGGAAATAAAGAATTATGCAATCTCTGGCCTTTGTTATCCTGATCTTTAACAGAATTCCCAATGTCAAAAGGTGGAACAATGTCCGGTTGTTCTTCTACATGAGGAAATACGATACCATCAGGATTACTCAATACATTTTTCTCCAATGCTTCATAGACTTGTAACATGGGATTAACTTCTCTTGGTGTGACCCTCTCCAGTTCAGTCTGCACCGCACTTAACTCTTCTCTGAGGTCTTTCACTATGTCCTCGGCTTCCTGGAGTTGTGCTTCTAGTTCTTCAATTTTCTTTTGTTGGGCTCGGGATGCCATTTCTGCTTCACTAATCTGAAATTTTGTCAAAACAGTTCGAATCATATTCTGATAATATTTGAAGGAAGTATATAATTATTACGAGCACATCATGCAAACACAAAATCACGCAACGGATGTGAACCTTCAAACATGCAAGGTTTAAATTATCTGTGTAGTTAAAAACTCCAATACTTACCATCTTTTGATTTTTCATTTTTCTCCCATCATAAGCACGCAAATTCAAATAGGCAATCAAGGAGTAGTTAGAAAGAAAAGTTTTTAACCAACATCTAACTAAATATAACATAGATAAATCACCGTAACAAATTAATAAACTTTTTAAAGGCAAGTACAAGGATTATGGCAAAAGCCTACAAGAACAGTAAATGGGAACACATGGATTTATGGTACGTGCATAACTTTTGTCGATGACCAGATCAGCTCATGATGCTATGGTAACATGAACCCTCCTACCACACTAATTAAATATTACGAAAAAGAAAAAGAAGGTATTTTGGTACACGACGGCTCCAAAGCTTTGCAAGGATTTAGGAGGGAAACCTTCCTCAATAAAAGATCCATTTTCCAGTTCCCTAAATATGTTTACAAAAAGCAAGGCTTAGGGATTTTTGGTCAATAAAGATTTGATGAAATACAAACTACTGTAAACGAAAAAACCAGCTTTATTGTTGCAAACTTGAGATGTATATGAATTCAAAAAACACTGTTTCTGATCACTCATTCCACTTTTTTCTTATCAATTTTACAGGGTATACAGAGCTATGTACCTCCCTTGCTCATAGTAGAGTGTATTATCATGGTAAAGACAATACTACCCACATCCATGCATATATTTATTAGGTAAATGGATATTGAATTATTGATACATAAGAAGCTTATTAAATCATCAGACCATGGCCAACTGTACCCAGAGAATTCATCAAATCTTAATACTTTATTACTCGTAGTACTCAAAAAGGGTCTATAAAATCTAGAAGGCCAAGTTATACCATCCACTGCCATTGGAATAAGCTTAAAAGCGGGATTCCCAATTCCCAAATATAACACTCAGAAATACTGTTCAAGGTTACACTTCCAAATCACTAAGCAACAAGTTAGTTTTCTATACAAATTATGACATTCGTTGAGCCTTTATGAGTGCAAAGCAAAGTAACTAATGAAAGAAGATTCGCTTCCAATATCCTAGAGAAGACCAAATGTCTTAAGGCAGTCCAGCATTTGCCTCTTAAGTTTGTATTTATGCTAGTTTCCTTTTGCTTTATTTACCTTTTGCTAGGTTAGGAAATATAAACGCTTTATGAATCGTGGTCGATGGTCAAAATGTAATTACTATGATGTAGGAATCATGTCAATACAATTGTTAAATTGTTGCCTACCATATATTCCAAGGTTATCAATACACATATTATGTCCTTTCTTTCTTTGACAGTTTCAAGAATACTATCGGTTCCAGATTTGGTGTAACAAAGTGCATGTCTCGTCAAGGCATAAGGTACATACATTAACATTGTGTGCTACATCATCATAATGGCAGCAATAAATATTTCTTGCCATTAAAAAATATAATGAAGCTCTCTTTCCAAAAAGAAGATAATGAAGCTTATGCAGATTCTAGTTTGAACTGTTAGCAAATGTGATCATATTCATACGTTCGCAAGGACGTTATATGAGATAAGAATCAAGTGATGTTCATAATTTCCATCTTCAACGTCCTTCATTGCTCCCTATATATCGCATTTGTCCTTTCAATTTATCTACAAAACTCTATCTCACGGACACACAAGCACACTTAAGCAAAGCAAAGTTGCATAATAAGCAAAATGTCCCACTTGCATTATCAAATGACAGACGACAAAATAGGGAAACGTTATGAAGGAAGACAACTTAATAGATGCCATCAGCTATATCATAACAAATTAACAACATAAAAGATATCATACACACACAAGATTCAGAATAATGATACATAGTCCTTGATACCCATTTATGTAGTTTCGGATTTTTCCTAGGAATCTAGCATACCAAAAGAATGAAGCTATCAAAGATCAACAAAACCCTATTTGCATTCCACAAAAAAAATAGTCCCCTCCATAGTCAATTAATCTTGAGAAACACCAGAAACCAAAATAGCTCAAAGACTTCATAGCACAAATTTGCAGCACACATTCTTAATAACAACATTTGAGTCAATGAACACAGCATATTTCTGATGATGACAAACTAGGAAAGAGATCACAACCCTAATTTCCAGAAAGACCAATTTAGCTAAACCCTTGGTGTTCAAAATCAACTCCAATTCCATATAGAACTGAAATTTTACCAGGCAAAAAAATGCACAAAAACCCAGATGCAGAAAACATAAAAAAAAATCACAAATTTATCAAATCAAATAACCTAAAGAACAGAAGCCCTAAAACAAAAAAAGGAAACCCCCACTTCCATTTATCACAAATGCGACAAAAGGGCAGAATTTGAATTTTACTTGTTATACCTTAGAATCCATCATCTGTTTGAGTCTCATAAGCATTTGAATCGCGTCCTCTTTCGATTGTTTGAGCTCTAATTCTAATCGAAGTGCTCTCCGTTCGGACACCATAATCCTCGCCGCTGCCTCTTTCGCTGTATTCAGTATCATATCAGCATACGCAATCTTCAACTCCGTCAACTTCTGTAACAATCAAACATCAAAAACAAAAACATCAGAATGTAAATTTAGACGATCAACCCCGATTTCCTTCGAAACACAAAATCAACAACCCAAATCAAAGGGAAAACCCGAAAAAAATGCTCAGGTGAGTTGTTAAGCAGTGTTCGCGGCTTCCGCCACCACCGGGCGGTGCAAAAGATAACGGCAATGTGTACCGAAAGTTTACCTCATCGGCGTTCATCGTTAGAGAATCGAAGAGGAAATTTTGGGGATTTAAGACCCTAGGAAGTTTGTTGTGTCTCTTTGTTAGCAGCTGTCTGTTATGAACTGCAATTTCAGTTGCCCTTGTGACGGTTTTACCCCTGGTCTTTTTTCGAGTTACCGAAATTGCCACTATTTGGTTGATCTTGCGATCCGTTACATTACGTTTCTGGAGCGGGTTTCTTGTTTTTTCGATTTTGATTTTGATTTTAAGGTTTTCTCTTGTGGGCCCGCGGCGCGAACCTGGTCTTATGACGTGGCAGACAATGAGGGTTACACATGGAAAATGAACACGTGGTCAATGTTAAGTCAACTATATTTGTCGATTTTTATTTGGAAAAAGTTTGAAAATCTATACTATAATATTTTAACAAACACTTTTCAAAACTAATTTTTACATGTAAAATATTATTTATTGATGTGTATTATTTAAAATTATGATTATAAGTAGATTATATGTAAATATAACTTATTAAAATTTTATATTTGAATTTGTATAACTAACTGAAGATAAACGTAATTAAATACAAGGTAAACATTTTCCTTAAATATACAAAAAAACTAAAATATAATTAAAATAATCATTGAGTTATAACAGAATACTTAATTTTTATCTTTATAAAATTATATTATTAAACCAAAAATAATTTATTTCGTTATAACCTAAATTAAATTATAAGAAAAAATTAAACTAAAGAAATTACACAAAAAAACAAGAATTTTTAGATAGTTAATTTGATACTAATATCGATATATTTTTTTTCAAATTTTTATGATGTATTTAAATTTATATTTTATTCCAAAATAAAAATATTATCGCTTTCTTAAAACCACATAAAGTTGTATTGTAACATCGATGGAGACAAATATGAAAATGAAACATTAAAATCGAAATTTATCTCGCTGCATTGCACGAGTACCCTTCTAGTGAACTTTAGTGTTTGAAATAATTAAGTTTTTAGATAATTTTTTGAAACAAATAAATTTTTGGACATTTGAAAACCTGTTAAATAACTCATTCGACTTTTGAAAACATATTAAATACATCTTTATGACATATACAACTGGTTAATATGGTAAAATAATGAAAAAAAGTCAGAAAAAAAGCCAATGGACATTCATATTTTGAACGATTGAGTCCCTAAACGTTTTTTGTACTAAAAAATACTTGCATCTATAAAATGAAACAAATATACCAAAAAAATACTAATATCTACAAAAAAACTACTTACAATTAAAAAAAATTATTGATCAAATTTATTTTAGTTAAAAATAAAAATATATGTCTAACAGTAATTTTTCAAATTAGAAAAATTAAAAAAGAATAAAAAAGAATTGGTAATTAAATTTATTTTAATTAAAAATAATATATTTCGTATATGATTTTTCTCAAATAATAAAATTTTAAAATAAGATATTACTGATGAAATTTATTTTAATTAAAAGTAAAATATATTTTATTGGTGATTTTCTAAATTAAAAAAATAGAAAACAAATTAATTAAATTACTAATGGATTAACAATAAGATTTAACTAATCATATAATTATTTAAAATTCGTCGCTAGTTTTCATTGGTATATATACATGGATTACTTATATTTAATTGATGGCTAACTTGACCATCATCAGACGTTCTAACACAGTAACATGTTAATAACGTAAAAGATTGTGTTTGAATTTTGTCGATGATATCATTTCACTGACGGATTAATGACAAATTTAATTAATTATGTATTTAGTTAAAATGTATCATTAATCAGTCCATAATTTAATCAAATTAAATAAACTTCATCAGTATCCTTTTCAAAAAAAAAATTTAATTTTTTTAATTTGAAAAATTAAATAAAAAATATATTTTATTTTTAATTAAAATAAATTTAATCAGTAATTTTTTTAAATGTTTTTTTATTTTCTATGATTTATTATTGATAGGATATTTTTATTTTTAATTAAAATAAATTTAATCAGTAATTTTTTTAAATGTTTTTTTATTTTCTATGATTTATTATTGATAGGATATTTTTATTTTTAATTAAAATAAATTTTATCAATATTTTTTTTAATGTAAGTACTTTTTTTTGTAAATGTAAGTATGTTTTTGATATATTTGTTTTATTTTATAGATGTAAGCATTTTTTGGTTCAAACAATATTTAGAGACTTGATAGTTTAAAATATGAAATGTCATTGGTTTTTTTCCAGACTTTTTCAAATATTTCATCATATTAACCAGTTGTATAAGTCATAAAGACGTAACTAATAGGTTTTAGAAAGTCCAATGAGTTATTTAACAGGTTTTGGAATATCGAATGATTTATTTGTTACAAAAAATTATCCAAATACTAAAGTCCATTAGATTTTTTAGACTTTTTAGTTTTTGTTTTGGTAACATATCTTTTTTTCATAAAAATAAAAAAGTATTTAAATTTTTGTTTGACTTTATACCACACTTCATAATTTTTCTATATTAAAACTTTAATGCTTTAAAAAAATTACATACAATTCCGATAAATACTTTATTTTGATAATTCTAACATTTAATAAAATATCTGATACATTTGATCAGAGTAAAGTTTATTTTTGGTTTCTAAAGTTTGTTACTTTAACGATTTTCGTCCCTTAACTTTATTTTGATATATTTCTCCCTCACATTATAATTTTCGTCCCTCCTCCATTTCGTCAAGTCCAATTAAATAAGGGATATTTCAGTCCTTTTAAATATTTGTATGTTTTCTATGAAAATAAAAATTATATATACATGTTAATAGAAAATCAAAGACCAAGGGCCAAAACTATAGTTTTATTTTTGTTTTCAGGGGCCAAAACTGTAAGTTTTTTTTGGTCATCTTCTCCGGCCAATATTCCTTCTCCGACCACTGATCAGAAGCATCCACACACACAAAATCAATACAAATTCAAACCTTAATCACATAAACTCAACCAAAATCCAAATCCTAATCATCAAACTCCAGCCAAATCTAAATAATAAATCTGGACCATCACCCATTTCCTCATCTCTGGGAATCAAATTTAAATCGCAAAATGAAATCCAAATCTAACACAATGGTGGTGCTCGTTTGATTTTTCTCTCCATCCACCATCCTCATGGTTTTCATCGAGGCCCATATGAGGCCAAGATAAGCTTGGGGGAGGGACTATTGAGGTGATAGACACTATGTACTGGTTATGGTGTTTTAAGACGGTGGTTTGCTGGGAAACCACCACCTACACCAACACTCACCACCGTCACAAATTATAAAATCAAACATAAATTTAAGGACTTTAACAAAGCATCAAAACATCTTTGATTCAACAATTAAGATTCGAAAACAACATAGCTTCAAGACATTTTTTACTCAAAATCTTAAAGCCATAAAGCAAACACTAAATTAAACAAAATCCTAAATCAAAATCAAACCTACAACCGATGGTTGAAAATGAAGCCGAAGATGGTCGACGTTGCACCTTGAGTAGAGGGAGATGATGATGCCCCTCTGTCTGTTCACATCTTCATTTTTGTCAGCTTCTGTTTACATCGTCCATCTCACATGACTGAAGATCGAGGTTCACATCTTGATTATGCATCTTCATGGTTAGTGGAGTAGAAAAAAGTCATTGCAGACACTTCTTGGGAAGATAAAGATGTTATTACTTAGATTCAGGAAACGAATTTCGTTCGTACAACGATATTGAATCGAAAAAATCCCAAATATATATATATATATATATATATATATAAAGAGAGAGAGAGAGGGAGAGATGAGCGATCAATTGCAAACCACCATCATTTGTGAAAACATTACAAACCAATCTCATTCATCCATTTTCTTGATCAATGGTCAAGATTAAGTAATGTTATATTAGGAAATTAAAAAAAAGTTTAATTTTTAATTAAACGAAGGGTAAAATCGGCAAATCACCCATATGAATCTCTTTCACTGTATGAAACTGTATTTCATCACTGTCCTCTTCACTGTATGAAACTGTATTTCATCACTGTATGCAACTATTTCACTGTATGAAAAACATTATTTCATCGTTGTATGAATATGGTTCACAATATTTTAATATGTATTTCTTAACTAGATAAACATGTATTTCTTCATTGTATGAATCTGTTTCATAGTAATTATTTATATGTGTGAATTTGGTTCACTGTATGAATCTGTTTCACATTATGAAACTGTATTAATCTGTCATCTTCATTGTATGCAACTATTTCACCGTTTTATTTTAAAAACAATTGATTTACACCTTCCATATAAACGGTTTCTATATTTACGTTTCCATATTTAAAAATAATTAAATCATTTTCAATATTAACCATTATACAGTAAAATGACAATTATACCCTTACTTATTAAAATTAAAGAAAAAAAAGTTCCTATTGGTTGAGAGTGGTTTGTATAATTTTCACGAATCAGGTGGCTTGCAATCTAACCCGCCTCTATATATATAATCGACATATATATGTATAATTACATATGAAATACAACAATGAATTGAGTAAGACTTGATGACTAACTTGATTATCTTGATGTGAATCCAACAAAGAACGAGTATGAGATTGAGGCCTGCGGTGGCAGTGTTCTTAGACAGAAGTTCGTCCTGTGTATGGTGAATTGGATGTCTATCTAGAGGATACAACAATCCGTTCAAGAAACAAACTAAAACCTGAATAATCGATTATGCTTCCATATGCAATCGATTAGAACGAGGGAAGCAAAACCCAATTTTTTTTTCGTATGTCTACCAAAAAAAGTGGATTTTGAGGGTATTAATTGTATGCCTTAACAGCCGGATAGAGTCGAGCCGCTGTCACACTCTGTTTCTCGTTATCAACGAAAACTCGCTAATGATATCAAGAGACCCCAAGGCCCAAGGCCTTCTTGATATTTAATATGTGTTGGACCCAACTAGATAGTTAAGCAAGCAATTTAACACTAGCTATGACCTTGATAATATAAGGCACTTAAAAATTTGAGATTTGGTCTATGTGGGACAAACCAAATACCCAACCAAAGATAGTGGGGTTGTGGTGGATCTAGCTGTTATATTAGGAGAGAGATAGAAAGAGAACACGGTAAAGGATATAGGTGTAAATGATGCGAATCGAGCTCGAATATCAATATACTCGACTCGAACTTGATAGCCATTTCTCAAGTTCGAA